ATAATATTAATATTTTTCAATTTTTACATATATTTATTTATATATTTATCAACATCATTGTCTAAATAGAATATTTTTAACTCAAATTTACATTTCAATTAATGTATACAATTTTTTTTTTTTTAAATAAGATTTTTGGCATACTTTTCCCTTTCAAAAACCAACTCTTAGATTTTTTTTTGTTTATTCAATAAAATTTCTTAATATTTCTGGTTGATCTGAACAATGTTTTTTTTTTTTAAATTTAATTTATTAATTAAAGTTAAAGGGGCTTTAAGTCACTGTCTTTTTTTTTCTTCCTGCTTTCTAAGCATAATCACGCTTGCTGATTAACCCTCTGTGTAGGGAATTTAATCAGCGACTTTCCTCATTTGCGATTCCCTTTTGTTGCCATTGCCATTTTTTTTTTCTGTCTTAGTTCGTCTTGCTTATAGATTTGTTTTCTTTTTTCTGTTCCTTTTTTTTTTTCTTTGTTTTCCCTTTTTTTTCCCGTATTTTGTGCAGATTTCTTTCTGCAGCATTTCGTTTTTACAGTGTGCTTTTTTATTTCGTCCCTTTTCAGTCGAAGCGTATTTAAGCTGTGCAAGTGCTTTGCCTTATAAATCAATAACATTGCAATATATTTTTGCATGCTGTTGCCCCGTATCCCAGATTTGCAAAGAACCTTTTGTTTTCGTTGTTGTTTGTATGCTTGGATTTTGATGCATTTTGTAGAGCTTGTCATTCACTCATTCATTTATTCATTCAATCGCTCAGCTCAGACAGTTAGTCGGTGAGTCAGTCAAGCATTCACAAGCATACAAATTCATTTCAATAACTTCGCTGTTGATGCAGCGCTTTAAATCCTTCTGCAATTTCCCTCGCTTAATCCTTTCTAATTGAAAATCGTTTTGAATTCGAGATCTGTGAGTGCTTTTTAAGTGTATATGTGTGTGTGTGTGGGTGTGAGAGAGTTTTAATGTGTGTGTGGGTGTGTGTGTGTGTGTGTGTGTGTGTTTGGTTGGATGGCAATGTGGATAACTATGTGCTACACGAATTGCATCAGCATATGATGCAGTTGATTTGCTGCATTGTATAGCCAGCCTCCAGCCTGCCAGCTGAGCGAACTGGCCCGGGCCATGCCATGCCATAGCAATGCCTGGCCTTGAGCATTCGAGCAAATTGCAACAATGTGCATGATTTCCACATGTATTTGGAATTTCGGCTCGTAATTTGCTTAATGGTTGAGTTGAAGTGCCAAGCCAAGCCAAGCCRAAGTGCATTGATATTGAAAGCATTAAATTGCCGAGTGCATAATGCAATCAATGCGTTTTGGCAGAAAAGGAAGGAAGCTGAGACAGCCAAACAATGCGATGTTAATGGAGGTCACGTGCATACCAACTGATTATGATGCTATACATACATGCATATATACATATGTACATATTTATCACAAACAGTTATATATATTTATATAATTTATATATGGAAAAGTTGATGTGAATTTATGCAAACGGAAATTAAACATAAATCTGTCTCAATATTTTGATTATTGAATTGAAAGTGCCATCTTAATATTTGTTGTTGATCTCTTTGTCGCTTTGTTTCACAAATGCAAAATTATGCTCAGATTATTAATAAAATACGCAATAAGACAGAATTCATATAAATTATGACGAAATATTCAAATATTTGTGAATTGAATAAATATTATTGATTGAATAAAATATACATATAATATATATATGCTTAATTAAATAAATATTGATTGGAGTTGTGGCAAATGGCTCACCCTCCATTATAACTTTATAGTTTACAGCTGAATTACGATGTGATTCTTTAGAGCTATAGCTTCTTGTCGGCTTCTTTTCGTCCAATCGCACCCGTCAAGAGTCAGCCCGAATCGACTCTATTATAGAGAGAACAGAAGTCAGAAGCTAAGCGTGCAGCTAAGCCTCACTCAAATAATATTTCCTAAACTCAGATTATAGCTGACTGATCAGAATGCCGCTGGCTCTACTGAACTCTTATGTTTGATTTGATGAGCAGCTCATTTTCTATAAGTAATTTTCTACTGTTGGGGTACACTCAGAGCGGTTCGAAGCACCAGATTATTACGCTCCGAAAAGCAATGCCTTTATTTCAAATTCATATATAACAGCTCATATCTATTGCCATGATTTCCATGGCGTCTCACTTGATCACAGAGCTCAGCTGATTTCTGTATATCCCTATTATCGGTTGCTTCCAATTTGGGAATGATCCTATGTTAATAACTGAACACCGACTCTGCTATTTAATTTACTCTCTCTCGTCCCTCGTCATAATATTACTACAAAAAAATATTTAGCAATTGATAATATCAACCTGAAATAATAGGAAACATACCAAAAATAAACTATATTTGTATGAAATATTATCTCAGGATTTTTTTGGAGATCTATGCATGGTGTAAGAATTAAAAAATTAATGCTGATTCTGCTTGCTATTTTTTAATGCCATACATAATTCAGGATGAAGAGGTTTATTTTGTGCTGAACCGATCCATCAATAGGTACTCGAATTTAGATGGAGAATCGACTAGTATAAGACCTTTTTCGATACTCCTTGCCATGGCTTACAACCATTCCTCTTCTGGCTGTAAACTTAACAACCAAACAAGTGTAAATATACTTAATTTATATATAAAACAAGCATTTGCGAAGTAAAGCCGTTAGTGCCACCTTGACGTTTGAGTATTAATAGCAATAATTCTGCTCAAATTTTAGCCTTATCAAATTGTGAAAGATGTTATACGATTCAATATTAAATGTCTTGATCTCTATTAAATATTCTTGTTGATCAAACAACCCTCTAAAATACAGTTATTGAAGAATACTTATACCTAATGTATTCCACATTTCCTACAATAAAAATAAATAAAAAGTATATAACGTTTTTCGCAATTTTCAATTGCACGATAAGACATGCCTATATTACTTCTCAAACTCTCCATCTCTATATTATTAAGCTCTCATATTAACATTTTGTCTCTGGCAGCGCAACAAATTAACATATTTTTGAGGTTCGTTTAGGTTCGCTCAACATATGATGCGGTATTTGGGCAGCGTCTGTCGCCCACCGCCTCACCCTCCGAGGTGTTGCTGCCGACCAAATTCCCAGCGCTACTTTTGTTGTGGCGGCGGAGCAACTTTGATGCCACAAGCGGTGCCCAAACCCACAACAGAATGGCACAAATTTTTGCTGCCGTCGCTATTTGCATGGCAAATTCAAACACACGAAAGTAAACAAAAAACTTTTGTGCCAACAAAAAACTTGACGCCAAAGAAAATAGACGACATGCGGCGGTAGCGTCGGCGACGTCGACAGACAAAAACAAATTCCAAAAATAACAATAACAACAACAACAACAACAACAACAACAACAACAACAATAATAATAATAATAATAACAAAAACCAAACAAGTTCAAAATCAATGCCAAGAGCCAAGAGCTGTAAAAATTTGCATTTCCCTCCACTCTGTGAGTGTGTGTGTGTGTTTTTTCCACAGCTATTTTTCAAAATTTCCTGCAAAACAGTTCGCCGTTTGGGTTTTTTAAATATCAAGCGAGAGTTCAACAAACGCTCGAAGCGGAAATGCATTTGGAAATTGTGCTCCGCACCAGCCCAACGAACCAATACGACTAACAACAGTCGGAGCAGCAGTCCGTTGGGTAAACAGTAGGATCTATGGAATAGTAGGGATGGAGGTCGGGGTCGAGGGTCTTTAGCTGCTGTTATTGACGACTGTCTGAGCGGGATGATGGCTATGGCGCTTTCGTCGCTTCTGTTTATTGTCTGGCTGGTTGGTTGGCTGGTTGGCTGGTTGGCTGGCGAAAGGTCAACAGCAAACACTACACACGCTACAACGCCTCACTTTAGGGGCGCCACCTAAAAGTATGCAACACTAATTGGCACTCAAAGTGAAACGTTTCACTCAGCGTCAACGTTGACATCCCCCACGTTGGAGCAATAGCTCATTTATCATAATAATCGCGATTACTCTCGCTCTTTCCTTTTCTCAGCTCTCTCGCTAATTGCTCAGTGAGACCCATTAGCTTGCTTGGTTTATCAAGTCGGGCAGCTGTCAGCCCACAGTTGCCACCCAATCTTCTGAGCGACAGATGCCTCTTAGCCAACAATCTTAATGCAGCCTATTTGCTGCCAGCGAATCTCTCAACGCATTCTAACCCATATTTACAATTGCTGCTCACTCATGTCACTCTTCTAACTCTTATTTCTTCCTCTTCTTCTTCTTCTTCCTTGCTGTTTGCAGTGCCCGTAGTGGGCAATTTCACAGATGAGGAGCTGCTCAATGTGCCGCCTTCAAATGGCGCTGGCGCCGGTGTCCCAAATACATCCGAATATCCGTTTCAACGCGACGAGGTGGGTCGTGCCGTCAGCAGCGGTGGCGAGAGGAGTCAGCATACCACGCAAGGTAAGACAACATTGGAATTAACAATTTAGAAAATAATTTCTGTTATATAAACTAAAAATTAATGATTATTTATTCATTAGAGATTTTAGTAATTGTAAAATTAAAGCTGACCTAAAACTTAAGTCCTGACAACTGGGGCTTTTATATTGTTGATATATTTTAATTATAGTAATTTCTATATCTATATCTATTATAGTAATTTCTATTATTAATAGTTCAGGTTAATATAAGCATTTTAAATAAATATTGCCGTAATATCCTATCACTAATAAATAAATAAATAATCTATAAAAAGGAAAATTAAATTTAAGAAAAGATCAGTCAATAGTTAATAAATATTTTGAATAGAAATACAGAACACGTTCTTTGGCAAATATTTCTTTCCTTAAATATTATTCATACATTTTCTATAATTTTCCTGTCACATTTTTCAACAAATATAATAAGTAATTTCTGTTGTAATCCAGCTGAACATAGGTCTTGAATCAATGAAAAATTTATTTGCTTAGTACATTTTCAATAATTGTTTTCTCTTTAACAAATACAAATTTAAAGTACATTCATATTTACTTTCATAAATAAATCGAATAGCTAATTAAATAACTAAACATACCTGAATGAAAATTGCAGTTTGCTAAAGCAACTCAAGCAAAGCAGCACTAAGTTCTTGCTGTGCAGTGTAAGCTCTTTAATTATCCGCTCTCATCATTAACAATGCGAGCGAGATCAACAATAGAGTGTGGGCAATTGAAAGCCCAACAATAAGTTACATCACGCCTCGAATATTTTTTATAGCTGTTTATTTCTTTTCTCTTCCATAAATAATCTTTTCCATCCGTTGCAAGAAAATGCACAAAAACTGCTGGGAAAAAAACTTTTTCATTAAATGCGAAGTTTTGCAAAACGTTGCACTTTACCATATTCTCTTTATTTCTGTTTCTTTTTTTCTCTCCCTCTCGCTCTTATTACTCTTTAGTTGGAGTTTAACTGCCTGCCTGTTGTTTCATAACACATCGTCTCTTTTGCTCTTTTGTCTATTTCACAGTTATCTCGCCAAAGCCCATTGACCATCAGGAGCCGGAAACAAGTTTCGTTGGCGTCATAATCACAGTGTTGGCCACAATTATTCTCTTCCTTGTCGCTATTATATTGCTGATAATAGCGCGCAATAGGCACGGACGCGGACGTGGTAATGTTTTGGATGCATTCCAGCATAATTTCAATCCGGACACGCTCGGCGGCGTTGATAAGCGACTCAATGGCAGTGGCAATGGCAACGGCAACGGCAATGCCAATGGCGTCTTAAAGGTAGGCACACACTGTTACACAATAATCAACCGACCGACGGCCACTAGCCTGGCTGACACGAAAAGTGCATAAACTGTTGTCGCACAGTTTGGGGCCAGTTAACGCCGCCCAAAATGCATGTCAAACGTCGTCCAAAAAATTAAAAAAAAAAAAAAAAAAAAAAAAAAATGGAAAGCTGAAGAGTAACACAAACCAAACAGCAGCAAGAAAAAAATGAATTGAAAATTGCAGCTGCTAACGCACAAAGCAAGAGAGGCCAAGTTTCCTCCATATGCAGAAATCATGATTAAAAGCTGTACTGTAGTGGCTGGCCGAAGCTCAACAAAAAGAGCTAGGCGTCAACTTTTTCTTTTTTTTTCTTTACACTGTCATCTGTATGTATATGTATACGCTACAATTTTTTGCTATATGTTTCTTTTCTTTCACCTTTCGCCCTCAGGTGGTCACAACAATGGATGACAATGAGTCGTCCATTGACAAGAACAGTCTGTACCATGAGCCCTTCAATGTGAACATGTACACAAGCGCGGCCAGTGCTTGCTCCATGAATGACCTGCAGCGTCAGCATGTAACCCCGGACTATACAGGTGAGTTCACGCAAATGGGGCAAGAGGTGCCCTAGCATCCAGTTGCACCATGATGGGATGCTGCTGCTGCTGCTGCTGCTACTTCTGCTGATGCCATGGGCCATAAACAGAGCCCAGAGCTTAAGCTTTGCTAGCTGCTGGTGGTGCTGCTGCTCCTGTTTCATCCGCCGCTGCTGATGCTGCTGGTGTTGCAACTGATGAGTTTGATGTTTTGCGTCCTGCCTGTGACAGGACATGCAAATGTTGCAGCAAGCAACACCAAAAAAAAAATGAGAAATGCGAGTACGTAGCAATGCTTAATTTAGCGCACAACATGATAGTCCACTGTGATGGACTCTGCCAGCGGTGCTGAAGCAGCAGCCGGAACACGACCAGCAAAGTTACAACAAAAATCTCCAAAGGCTGCAGGTTGAAAAAAAAAAAAAAACAAAATAACGCAGGTTGTTCGCGCCGCAGGACATAATTTTGAATTGCTTAGTCGCCAGACCGGCAAAACTGACACAAACAAAAAATTGGGCAGGGTATACAAAAGAGCTTATGCGCTCAGTAAGACGTTATGATACAATATTGAAATTAAAGTTGATTTTCATTATTTGTTGCATTAAAATATTTTTTATATATATTTTAAAATAAAAATTTGTTTTAATTCTGGAAAATATAAATTCTTTTCTGATATCTGACATTTGATTTGACTATCTGATATTTTATCTCTTGATTTTTTTTATAGTTATAAAATTATTCGGGACTGCTAATTAAAAGGTTTTTTTTGCTCTGAATTTATAAAAAATATATAATAATAAAAAAAAGTTAAACTGTCCAAAAAAAGGCTTTAATATTTCTTAAAAAAATTTTTTTTTGATATTTTGAAAGAGAAATATTCATCAAACTTTTGCATTAAATAAAGATTTGCTCTATATTTTAAGCATTATTAATATTTAATTTTCTTACATATTATTTCATGAGTAATTTTACCCAAATATTTATTTGACAGAAACATTTAACGAAATATTAAACGAAAACAAAAACAAAATCAACAAGAAAATTCGTGAACACCCAAAATATATTATTAAATATTATGCAATTAAGTAAAGTAATGTCAATCTCCTTAAATAAAATCTGCAACATTTGATTGTTGCAATTAGCAAATAGTCAGCATTAAGAATCGATAGAAATCTCCTGTTGTTTTTTTTTTTTTTTTTTTTTTTTTTWTTTTTTTTTTTGATGCAGCAAAAACATTGTCTATATATAAAATTGTCATACAAAAACTACAAATCTCTTAAGAATCACCTCTTTGAAATGAAATGCTGATGTTTAACCGTGAAGCTTAACCAGTTGCGACATTTGTTGACTTACTAATCCGCTTAAGAGAGCTCCGCATGCCCTTTATGCTCTGTTTTGGTCAAGAATTAAATACACAAGTCCTTTAACTAGCTAGTTAAACACAGCTAAATCGTGCCAAGCCCTTTTGCAGAGTAACTACACGTCAGCGTCTGCTACTTGGCTAAGTTTCCATGTAGATTTCGAGTAGCATGTGCATTGTTTAATTGCCACATGGACACTAGAGCTTTCGGCTTGGGGTTACAAGTTTAGCTACATAATTTGTAATGAATTCTAATGTCTTGTGTCCGCCGCCTGAAGGCATGCTACACATTTTTTGCGTCCTTTGGACTCCAGTGGAAACATGGCGCATAAAATCGACATCCTGGTCAGGACACAGGCACATTGTTTGCACACATTCCTTAGCCATCATCATTATAACCATCATCATCATCATTGGCATTGTCATCGTCATCATCAACATTTATGGCACGCCTTTCATGCGCTCGAGTCATTTACCCAAAAGTTTTCTGATGTTGCCTTTGGGTGCATTTTATAACTGGGCACCAAATATTTGTCATTGTCCTTCATTGCCAAGCGCCGCCAAAGTCGTTGTCTGTCCGTTGCCATAATAATTTAATTTAGCTCAAATAAATTATAACTTTAGCCATGGAACTGCCAAGCTTTAACCATGCTACACTCCAATTTCCAAAAAAATTCTGTTTGCAGCACTCGTCACAGTCTCGCGCGTACCGCACGCTTCAAATTGAAAAAAAAAAACTTCGTTGCAAAACTTCTGCCAGCACTAACCACTTCACTCCACATTCACAAAAAAAAAAACACACACACAGACAAACACACACACACACACACTCCAATTAAAGTCCATTAAAAAAAAAAACTGCCAATTTGCACTGGCAAAGCACCCACCCAATGGAATCACGGCTAGAAAAAAAAAAAAATAACATTGCATGCAAATAAACAGGGCAATAAGCGTGCATTCAAACACGAAACGAACGTGAAAACGTTTCGCAATTTGCTCAACTCGACATAAGAGAATCTCTATTTTAGTTTTTAGTGTTTTTCAAATAGATTTCTACAAATACTGAGTATTTTAGTGAATTAATCGACCGTATGTAAATTGCTATGTGCAAAGGGTAAACTGATTTTGTTTAGCCGAATATTTCATATTCTATGCAGTCAAACTAAAATTTTGATTTGTAAACTTACCAAAGAATTTAAATTAGCAAAAAAAAAAAATATCTGAAAATATAAATGTTTTAGAATGAGTAATATCTTTTGTAGAAAAAAAAAAAAAAAGTAACGAGTTTTTAATATTAATAAAAAGAAAAAACTTAAAGAAAAGATTTAAAAAAAAAAAATTAGAAATATAAATATATAACTAAATTAAAAAATACTTTCCTTAAAAAAAGAAAAAAAAAAAACAAATTTGTTAATTTTTTTAATATGAAGTTTGTATCAAAAATGTTTTATCAAAAATATGTTAGTCTCAATATTTCTTAGAATTTTTTTATTTTATTTTTTTATTTTTTTTTATTTTTATATTGGCACAATATTTAAAATCGAATTATGCTTTATGTACATATATATAGCAAACTACTATGCTTCAATTTGATGTAGGGTATTTAATATTTTTATATTTTCTAGTTGAAATCCTAAGGCCACAAGAGTTCTTCAGTTCAACTTCAAAAGCTGAGGCACTGATTGCGCAAACACATACATACATACTTATAAGGAAACTCACACACACACACATGCATATTCCGGCAACTTGCATACGAATTTTGCACAGTCGTCGAAAAGTTTTGTCATTAACGTTCGTTGGCTGTCTATCTCTGCGACTGTCTGTCTGTCTCTATCTGTCTCACATTCAGTGTGCAGCCGTCTCTTTCTCAGTGTTATTTTATGTTTTCCCACTACTTGCTGGCATAGCGAATGCAAAAATGACTGGCAACAGTGAGGCCGAAAAACAGACTGACAATGAGCCGCACACAAACTAAATAATGTTATTACAACAACAATAAAATTAAAACTTGACTCGAATGGAGTGTAGGGTGGATAATATTAGTGCAAGAGAGGCCGCACGACGCCAAGTTGCAATTAATTTCATTTAGTTTTTTTCCACACGCCATTTTCTCTTGTCTCGGGGCTTTGCCCCCCGGCTCCTCTCCATCTCCATCTCTCTCTCTCTCTCTCACTCGCTTTCTCTGTCACCCACACACATACTTTTTCTTTTCTATGTGCAATGAGAGTTGACTAAATGGGAAAAGTTTGAAGTTGAAGGCACAAAAGTCCTGGACAAGACAAATGAAAGCGAGAGACAAAAGGCGAGCCCAAATACCAGAACGAGATGGCATTACACAATAGAGATGGCAATTGCCAGAAAGCCAGACAAAATGCTTCAGCCGAGAGCTGCATTCTCCCTCTCACTCTCTCCCTCTCTTTCTCTCATCACCCCCGGCCCACAGCATTCAATTTATGAGTCGGACTTAGGGCACGCCACGTCTGTCGGCTGTCTTCATATGCTTAAATAGCGGGCAACGCTGGAGCGCTGCAAAACAAATGTCTTTTACAACACTCAACTTCTGTGGCATGTGTTGGAAAGTTGTGTTTTTACCTTAGATTAACTAAGTTTAGAGTTCTGCGAATTTTTGGCCCAACATTTGCGAGTTCTTGCTTTTTTTCAAGTTTGATTAGGAAACAGAAAATGTGGTTATGAAAACCAAAAACTTTTTAAATAAATGTCATGATTATTTATTAAGAAATACGAACTTGTTTTGCGCAACGCTCAGTGTTAGTATATGTATATAGAATCGAGAAGAAAATGTCAACAGAATTTCTTACTAATTTTATGTAAACAAATTTTTTTTTTTTATCAAAATTTCACTTTTGATTTTGATATGAAAAACTAAAAACCACAAAAAATAATAATTATTTCTTAATATTTGACTATAAATATTATAAACTATTTTTAATAAAGTATTAAGCCAAATTTTATTGCTAAATTAAACTACAACTTTTTTTTACTCAAATGTATGTGAACTTTTGTTTTTTTTTTTATTTCTTAGTAAAAACTTCAACTTAAATATTTAATTTCACTTTGAATATTCCTCTTCATTTTCACTAAACACAAAATACAATTTACTTTACGATCTATTTTTTTTCAACATTTTTTTATCTTCCGTTTTATTGCCCTGCTAAATTTTAGCTAAAAGAATTTAAAAAGTGACGTCGCACCATTCGTTTACGACTTGTGTAGCAGAGTGTAAATTTCAGTTGAGTTTTCCGTAAAATGTTGTGGCATCTTTTTGTGTATAATTCGTTGGCCCGACAAAAACTTTTGGCTGGCACGTAAAATAGCGCTTAAAAGTTTATTGTTTTCGGTGAGGTGCAGTTGTTTTGCAGCCCAGTTTTATGGCTAAAAAAATTAACACTCTCTGAACTAGAAACAAGCCCCTACTCACAGTTGCTCTCACTCTCTCTCTCTCTCTCTCTCTCCCCCTCTCTCTCTTTGTCTCTTTCTTTACACAGATGTGCCGGACATTGTGTGCCAGGACTATGCGGTGCCTCACATGCAGCAGCTGCTACCGACTGCCGCCGGCAGCACCGGGACCGCCCGCAGCTCTTTGAACGCATCTATCGTCGTTGCGCCACCAGTTGTTTCGGTGGCAGCTGCTACTGCAGCGGTGGCCGCACCACCGCCGCCCGTGCCACCGCCGCCAGAGAAATATTACGCAGCAACGCCAATTTGCAGCAAGCCGGTGACGGGGCCGGCGGGCTCACAGAGCAGCGGCTCGTTAAGTTTGAGCTCCTCGAATACGGCAGCGACCACGCCCACGCCAACGGGCGGCAAACCACATCATTACAATTTCGATATGAGCGCTAATTTCGCCGACATCAACGAGGAGCAGGCCAATTGCCAAGTGCAGGAGTTTCCGCGCCAGTCGCTGGTCATCGTCGAGAAGCTCGGCTCCGGCGTATTTGGTGAACTGCATTTGTGCGAAACAAATGTGTTGAAGTAAGTACCGCACACTATGCCATCAACACCCACCGCTCTCTTTGAAGCTACACTGCGTGGACACACTGAACCCACACCCACACCCACTCACACCCACACTCCCACACACGCAATCCACTTAAACAAGTTGTTGTGTGTCTGCTGCAAGCGGCCGAAAAAACATTCGGAAAATGCAACTAAAATCCACAGCAACACAAAATGAGCTGCATTAGGCTTACGGGCTATTTTCCAACTACACTAAACAGAATGGTAGCTGCTGCTGCTACTCCTGCTGCTGCTGCTGCTATTGCGGCTATTTGAAGAGCTCAACTTCAATGCATTTTTTTTAGCCTTATGTACACCAGGGGATTAGGCCCAACCAGTTATTGTGCCATAAGTTAAACTTGTGAGCGAACTTTCGAAAAAATGTGTAGAACATTTTTTAAATGCACTAATAATTTTACAAGAAATAAATTCAAGACATAGAAATGTAATATACGGAAAAAAAAGGATATACAAAACTGAACGCGGTCAGCTGTAAAACTTTGGAAGATATCATTTATTTAAGAACTAGCTGGCCCGGCAAACGTTGCATTGCCCTCTATATTATTTCTAGGTAAAAAATTGTTGAAAGCTATGTTGTTCAGGCTGGGATACACTGATAAATTTATTAATCGGATTTTCATTCAAGCACCTTGTTGTAAACGACATTCTTCGTTTTTTGGTCGGGTGCAAGAACAAATAATGCGGATCGTTTGCCAACACGTGAGCATGCCACGTACAATTGACCATGAGAAAAACACGCATTTTCTAGATTGAGGCCACAAATAGTCAAAGATTGGCCCTGTGACTTGTTGATCGTCATGGCGAAGGCAAGACGAAGCGGGAATTGAATTCGTTTAAATTCAAAGGGCATATCTGTTGAGCTCATCGGAATCCTAGGAATAAGAACTTCCTCATCTTTAAATTTTCCTTTGAGTATCAACGCGTGAATCACATTGCTCATCAGTTTTCTTATCACCAAACGCGTTCCATTGCACAGTTTTGGTTGGTTTAAATTTCTAAGCATGCAAATCATGGAGAATTGCTCTTTTCATAGCTGTGTTCATTTCTTGACGCCGGTCAAGTTGTTCTTCCATATTGCCCATGAAGTATATTTGCAAGAATTTTTGCTGTGCATCTTCAATAGGTTGCAATGATCCAATGCGATGGCAAATCTGGCCTTGAATCTTTAAATTCAAAGCCATAGTTATAGTTATATTTACAAACACTATTTACAGAAATCTAACAAACTACATTATTCAAAATTTTTTTTTGGCAGTCATAGAAAATAAAATTTTTAACGTAAATTACCTTAAATATCCGTCNTTTTTTTGAATAGTCAGGTCTGCTCGAGGTCAGGAGACCGTAGACTGACTGACTACATTTGTTTATTTACTTCTACACTATTGTCAAAACTGTCACTGTTACCAAGCCTACTGGGTATAAAAAAAATTTGAACATTTGGGGAAAAAACCGCGTTTTTCAAGTATTCGGCAAATTTTTTCAGTATTTTTAAGACCCTATACTAAACTCGTTGCGGAGACAAATCCAACAAATCAAAAACCATGAAAATTGGTTCRGCCYAAATCAAGTTATAAGCAGTCTTCACTTTTACACAACTTTCTTTTATATATATAGATTGTATATATAATACAGTAGAATCCGGTTCCGGTTAAGGTCAAGGCACCATCGCTATACCCGGAAGGCGATATAACCGTATTCTACTTTATATAGTCTAATTTACACGAAACTTTTAGAAAAGGCCGTACCTGCGTTATATTTTATATAGATTCCCAGATTCCAAGCCTGGAGTAAATTAAAATTCTTTTTGTTTTATTTCCAGGTATTTTAGTTATTTACGTTCCCAATAGGGCACAAATCCTAATTCATTATGATTATGTGTAAATTTTGATATAATTTCTTTATATAAAATTATGATTTCTTTCTTGATTTTCAGTATATTGTGATTTTCTAATTTTCCAAAATTTGTATAGATATATTCACTATGTATTTCAGATATTCGGTTTCTCATTACAAGTCTCTAGCAGTTTATCTAATAAAATTTGGTCATAACAAATTCAGCAGAAAATAACTTTTACACTTTATTAAACGAAGCTGCCCACGATGTTATCCTGATACGCCCTAAGGGTGTGGCTATTATATTACCTGATACGAAACATACCTAGGCATTTCAATTTTCAAGTTTGGCAAACTTTTAATATTAAATCTGGCATAACACATAGGTTTGCATGCCACTTTTCAAGTCTTAATTCTATCCTAATTATCTTGTTATTCCTCCATAAATATATGAATTTGTAAAACTTCATATAGCTCTAACTCTAAATGAAATCGCAACAAATTAATATACAATATATAAATTGTAGCATCAGTGTCAAAAAACCCATCCAATAAAACATTTATTTTGACATATAGTTAAATTGCTTTTCCAAATACAAAATGAAAATGGTAATAATAGAAAAGAGAATGATTGGCCAATTCATAAATTGGATATGGAGACTGACAAATCTGTTGCAAGCTTTGTCAGATAGAACACAAAAATCAAAAATTCGTATAACAATAGTTGACAATAAGAAAAACCGCAATACTTTAATACCATGTACACACACACACACACATACACATAGATAGATGAAGTATGTGAAATGGTTAGATGAAAGGACATAAAGCAAAGCGAAACCGATATGAGGCTGAGAGTTGGCCCTCGTCTCGGCCAGGTGCAGGTTGTAGTTGCAGGTAGCTGATTGCAGGTAGCAGGTTTGCGGGATATAATGCCACGACTGCGGTAACAGCAACAGCAGGAGCAGCAGCAGCAACAACAACAACAACAACAAGAGAAGCACATGCTGGCCACAAAAAAAAGCTTATCAGAAATTCCATTATGAAAACTTTAACCAAAAAGGCAACTGCAGCAGCAGCAATGTCAACAACCAGTAGCTGGAGCAGCCAAAGCCAGACGTAGGCGAGACAAGTCCGGAGCTATATATTGCCATTGTATATGGTTTCTGGGCAGAGGCAGAGCACTTCAGCAACGTTACCTTTGATTTCATTTTTGCCGTTTAATTGAAGCTTTTTATTGCGCATTATATATATGTATATAAATATATACATATATATATATACATATATCGTGAAAGCAACGGGCGTGGCTAGAGTTTTCTCTATATGCAGGGCATGGAAATGGTTTTAATTTTTCGCAGACAGCATGGCGTATGCGTATGTGTGTGTGTGAGTGTGTGCGTTTGATTTTCCACTTGCATGTCTATTATAATTTGCGTCTGTGGTCTAGGACAATAAAGTCCATCTGTTGTCTGATAACTGTCTATCCAGCTGTCTATTAATATTTTATCAGACGGCCACGCCCCACAGAAGAGGCGGGCAGAGCAGGCGCACAGCAGACGACCTCGTACGTCCACTTCAAGTTTTAGCACAGAACACACGGAGACGATGCATGCGTGTATGTGTGTGTGTTAATTATTTTGCATACAGCTGCCAGTTGCTGCAGCCAGGAGTCATCTTTGCTTCTGCTTCTGCTCCTGCTGCTGGTTTTCCTGCTGCTGTTGCTTTTTCTGCCACTGCAGTGCAATATTACGTATACGTAATACGTTTTGTGGCTTTCTAACCGCAAAACTATTAAAGCAAGCAGGCAAATCGAATTGTTACGAAACGTATCAAAATTGCCAGAGTGTATATTGACAGGGAATCGGTAGAGTAGGAATAGCAGAAGTAGGAGTAGGTGCAGCAGCACCAGGAGCAGTTGGAGCAATAGGAGCATCCTGCCCAGGACATTGTTGAGCTGCTCTAATTGATTTTTGCGCAACAGAGCAATTGTCATGGGCATACCGTATTTCAATTGATATAGATTGAAATGGTTGATGGACGGGCTAAAAGGGGAAGAACGAATAACCGACTGAACGAATGACTGAACGATCTGTGGCTTTCACATACATAAGTAACCCACAAAAGCAAAGAGCTCCGGGCAGTTACAGTAAACTATTGTTAAGCCTAGACATTAAAACTCTTTGAGCCGTTGCTTGCCCACAAATCCTAACTTTAATTAATGTTTTTATGCCCTGAACACATTCAAAAGGAAAATTGGGGTATCAGGGATTTTTTAAAATCTATGAAACAACCCGAAAGAGGCGTGGTAAACAAAATTTTTTATTATGAACTGAGTCGATGTTCTTCTATCTATCTGAACGCGTCGATCCCAGAACCAAGAACTAGACTTGACTATTTTAGAGGTCTTAGCGTAACTGAAAAAAAAAAAAACGATAACTAATGGTATCTTAATGTCATCGAATAAAAATCGAAAATCAATTATAAAATTGTTTCTAGTACATTTATAGAGCTGGAGTCTTTAAATATTGCTTCAAGATTCATGTGAAATTTTATTTATGTAATATATTAGATATCGCCTCCAAATTTTATAAAATTCTCAATTGAAGGTCAGTTTCAATACAGCAATACAGAAAACAACATATAGTCAAATATTCCAGCATATTTTTTTTTTTTTTAAAGAAATCATGTTAAAATTGTGTAGAGTCGAAACTGACCCATGTTGAGCGTTGTGCAGATGGCAGCCTATATAGAAAATATATTAATGAGTTATACTTATCGGCTCTAGTAAGACATAACTGCGTGTATTTAAAAACCCAGATCGCTCGGGGATCAGGGTATCCCCTAGTCGAATTCACCCTAGAGCTTTCTTATTTCTTATCTGTGATATATATGTTTCCATTACAGTGCCACGCTTGTCGCCGTTGCCACTTTACGTCCCGGTGCTGGTGATCATCTGAGAAAGGAGTTCCGCAGCAAGGCCAAGCAGCTGGCGCGTCTCAACGATGCGAATGTGGCGCGCCTGGTGGGCGCCTGTCTGCGCGACGAGCCCATCTGCATTGTGCAGGACTATTCGAATTGTTTGGGTGACTTGAATCAATTTCTGCAGGAGCATGTGGCCGAAACAAGCGGACTGCTGGCCAACAAGAGTTTGAGGTAAGCGCAGGATATGGCCAGGCGAGTGACAGAGTGTGAGCATGAGAGTGAGAGTGAAGGCGAAAAGTACTTTAGCTCTTGCTTAGCATTGAATGCTGCTGCTGTTCTAATGTGCTGTCTCTTTTTGGTTTTTCTGGCTGCGTTTTTGCGTGCGTTTTTATCATGCTTCCTGTACCGACGCCATTTGCCGACGCTACACTTCCGGTCTCGTGTTCAATGATTACGCCGATCCACCAACGAACAACCACCGTACAACCACCAACAACATGCGCAAACGGATGTAAAAACTTCGTTAACTTTGCTGCTGCTGCTGCTGCTGCTGCTGTTTGTGCCGCCCCGCTATCATCGTTGCCGTTGTCGTCCTTGCCACACGCGAAAACTTTTGAAATTCTCATTTGACGTTGGCATCCTTCGCCCGGCATCCGTTACGTTACGCGCCCGCCCAACACCTAACCAACCATCGGAACCATCGCCATGTAGCTACGGCTGCTTAGTCTACATTGCCACACAAATTGCATCGGGCATGAAGCATTTGGAGCAAATGAATTTCGTACATCGGGATCTGGCAACAAGGTAAGTACTTGAGATAAGAACACCTTAGACGCGCAGACAGCTACAGCGCCAGATACAGCTGTAGCTGCCCCAGCTCTGGTTTTGAATTTTTGTCGCATCATTGCAGCAAATTGAACTTTAAGTTAACATGTTGAAAAGTTCTTTTAACTTTTGTGTGTGTGTGTGGGTGGGTTTGTGTGTGTTTTTTTTTCTCCCTCTTTGCTGCGTGCTCAGAAACTTTTTCAACTTGCAGTTGAGAGTCAATCTAAGAATAAGCAAAGGTGTTTTGCAAATTGCACGAGTTTTTTTTTTCTTTTTTCTTGTGGTATTGAAATAATGAAATTGTCGAAAGTCAAATGCTATTTGGCTTTATATTTTAATATGTGAAAAGTGTGTGTATGTAAATATATAAATGTTTTCAATTAAAAAAAAAAAAGAACAGCATGAAGTCTATATTAACTAAACATAAACTGTTTAGGTTAGAGCATGAGAAAGGAGTTGTTAATCAATGAT